CAAATTAGACAGGATAGCCAACTTAAAATGATGGAAATTAAGGTAGAAGATAGGCTTAGTGAGGAGGAGGGTGATGACGAGCAGACACATCATAGCCAAAGACGCTGGTAGGGATATTTACACATATGTCAAAACATTACCAAATTCAATGAAAAAGATATAGAAGCCTTTTTCATTTCCTTTGAGAAACTGGCTAAACAGATGAACTGGCCAGAGACTGTGTGGGTTAATTCAGACCAAGTTGATAGGCAAGGCTAGTGAGGTGTTTGCAGCGCTGTCAGAGGAGGTGTCAAAAGTAAATGAAGTAAAACAGGATATTTTGAGTGCCTACGAATTGGTACCAGAAGCATAAAGACAACAGTTCAGAAATGTAAGAAGGGAACCATGTTGGAGTTTGAAAGAATTAAACAGAGCAACTTTGACAGATGGATGAGAGCATTAAAGATAGAAAAGACATACGAGGACCTTAGAGATATTATGCTGCTGGACGAGTCTAAAAACTCACTTCCAGAAGTTGAGGACCAGAATGTTAAAACAGCTAGAAGAGCTGCAGAGATGGCTGATGAATACGCAGTAGTGTATAAATCGAAATCTAGTTTCTGACAGTAATTTCATTCCGTGAGGGATATAAATTGGGAAAGAGGGAGATCCTCCAATGAAAAACAAAAAGTAGATCACACTGGGAACAGTTTAGCATGTGAAAAAAGAAACCCAAGAGAGAAGGGAAAAAGGGGGAAAGACCTCAGGTGTTTTCACTGCAATAGGGTGGGACACACAAAGTCACAGTGCTGGTAGTTTAAGAAAGGCATTGGGGAAAAAGGATGTAGTAAAAGAAGCTAAACCAGTGGGATTAGTTGAAGTAGTGAAGGAAATCCCAAGAGAAGCCAAGGAGCTGCAGGAGAGTGCACAGCCTAGTCACGGGCTGTACAGTAAGATAATATAAGATCTTTTCAAATACGTCCCCTGTGTGGGTAGGGTTTACTCAGGTAGAACAGGGGGAGTAGATAAGAAATTAAAATATTGAGAGATACAGGAGCTGGTCAGTCTCTAATAGTAAGAGATGAAAATATTTGCAGTCCTTCTGAAATATTGTCCGAGACAGTGATAATCTATGAAATAAAGGGAGAGAGAATTAGTGTTCCCCTGTGTAAGTCACTGGACTTTCTAGCCTTGTCTTACACGGAGCTCCACTGGAGCACTGCAGCAAGCCTGAGACTGAGATACTGGCCAGGGAACAGGGTGGTGTCTCTATTAACAGCTATTCACCTCCCTAGCCAGATCGTTATCCACTCCTTTGTCTGTCCAACCGTTCTTCTCTCTCTCTTTGGGCTCTATCCACATCTAACGTTTACTCCTTACCCCCTACCCTCTGCCCCCTGCCTCCCACCCCATCTTCTGCATAAAAATCAACATTTTCCTAGCTACCGTCAGTTCCAAGGAAGGGTCACCGGACCAGAAACATTAATTTTGATTTGTCTTCACAGATGCTGCCAGACCTGCTGAGCTTTTCCAGCAACTTCGGCTTTTATCTCTGAACAAGTACTTTGGATCTGTCTTCACTAAGGAGGACACAAACAACCTTCCGAAAATGCTGGGGACAGAGGGTCAAGGATGAAGGAGGAACTGATGGAAATCCTTACCAGTAAGGAAATGGTACTGGGGAAGTTGATGGGATTAAAACCCAATATCCCCAGGGCCTGATGCTCTGCATCCCTGTGCACTTAAGGACATGGCCCTTGAAGTAGTGGACATTTTTGTGATCATTTTGCAGCATTCTATAGCATCTGGAAGAGTTCCAAAGGACTGGAGGTAGGTAATATAACCCCACTTTTCAAAACATTAGGGAGAGAGAAAATGGGGGAAGTATAGGCTAGTCAGCTTGACATTGGTGGTGGGGAAAATACTGATTTAATAAGTGAGCATGGGAAAATGATGATAAGGTCGGTTCAAGTCAGCATAAAAGGGAAACCAAAAGGAAATCATACAGTCATAGAGTAATAAAGCATGAATATAGGCCCTTCTGCCCAAACTGGTCTATGCTGACTACGTTGCCCACTCGGCTAGTTCCAATTGTCCGCATTTGGTCCATATCCCTCTAAACCCTTTCCATCCATGTACCTATCCAAGTGTTTTTTTAAAATGTTGCTATTGTACCTGCCTCAACCACTTTCTCTGGCAACCCATTCCATGCACCACTCTCTGCGTGAAGAAGTTGTCCATAATGTCCTTCTTAAATCTTTCCCCTCTCACCTTAAACCTACGCCCTCTAGTTTTCAATTCCCCAACCCTGGGAAAAAGACTATATGCATTCATCTTATATATGCCCCTCATGATTTTATACACCTCAATAAGGTCACCTTTCATTCTCCTACGTTCCAAGGAATAAAGTTCTATCCTGGCCAATGTTGCCCTATATCTCAGCCCTACTTGTCATTCTACTAGCCCAACATCCTCGTAAATCTTCTTGTACACTTTCCAGTTTAACTATGTCTTTCCTATATCAGGGTGACCAAAATTGTACATAATACTCCAAGTGCGGCCTCACGGACAACTTATACAACTGTAACATAACCTGCTTGACAAACGTTCTGGAATTTTTTGAGGATGTGGCCGGTAGAGTGGACAAGGATGAATCAATGGATGTTGTGTATTTGGACTTTCAAAAGGCTTTTGACAAGATCCCACACGAGATTAGTAAGTAAAATTCATGGTATTAGAGGTAATGTATTGATGTGGAGAGAGAACTAGTTGGCAGACAGGAAGCAGAATAAACGGGTCCTTTTCAGAGAGGAAGGCAGTGATGATTGGGGTACCGCAGCTATTCACAATATACGTTATCACTTTGGACGAATGAATTGAATGCAATATATCTAAATTTGCAGACGACGCTAAACTGGGTGACAGTGTATGCTGTAAGGAAGATGCTAAGAGGCTGCAGGGTGAAGTGGACAGGCTGTCCAAGTGGGAGAATACTTGGCAAATGTAATATAATGTGGATAAATGGGAGGGTATCCACATTGGTGGCAAAAACAGGAAGGCAGATTATTATCTGAATGGTGGCAGTTTAGGAAAAGGGGAGATGCAAAGAGACTTGGGTATTATGGTGGAACAGTCATTGAAGGTTGGCATGCAGGTGCAGCAGGTGGTGAGGAAAGTTAATGGCACACTGGCCTTCATAGCAAGAAGACTTGACTATAGGATGAGGGATGTCTTGCTGCATTTATACAGAGCCTTGCGTGAGGCCATAGCTTGGGTATTGTGTGCAGTTTTGGTCTCCTAGTCCGAGGAAGGACATTCTTTTGAGGGAGTCCAGCGAAAGTTCACCAGGCTGAATCCCGATGGCAGGACTGACATATGAAGAAAGACTGATTGGCTCGGCTTGTACTCACTGGAATTTAGGAAAATGAGGAAGGATCTCAGAAACATATAAAATCCTGATAGGATTGGACAGGCTAGATGCAGGAAGAATGTTCCTGTTATTGGGGGAAGTCCAGAACTAGGGGTAGTCCAGAACTGGGGGTCACAGTCTAAGAATAAGGGCTAGGCAGTTCAGGACTAGGATGAGGAAGAATTTCCTCACTCAGAGTTGTGAACCCGTGGAATTCTCTACCACATAAAGCTGTTGGGGCCAGTTTGTTAGATATATTCAAGAGGGAGCTGGACATGGTCTTTGTGGCTAAAGGGATCAAAGTGTATGGAGAGAAAGTGGGAGAGGGATGCTGAAATTGAATGATCAGCCATGATCATATTGAATGGTGGTGCAGGCTTGAAAACAAATGGCCTAATTCCGCACTTTTGTGGTACCTTTCCCTTGTATTGGTCCTTACCGATCTAATACATTTATAACCACCTCTTTAAAGAAACTCCCTTAGCTACATTCAAATATACCAGGCCAACTCTGAGAATACTTAAATAAAACACAGAACTGTAGATGCTGAAGATCTTAAAGAAAAACAAACTGCCTGGAGAAGGGTCATGACTTGAAACAATTACTCTTTTCTTCTCTCTACATATAGATCATAGAATCCCTACAGTGTGAGAATGGGCCCTTCAGCCCAACAAGTCCACTCTCAAAGCATCCCACCCAGACCCATCCCCCTATAACCCACCTAATCTACACATCCCTGAACACTATGGGCAATTTAGCCTAGCCAATCCACCTAACCTGCACATCTTTGGACTGTGGGAGAAAACTGGAGTACCCAGAGGAAACCTGAGGGTGGAATTAAACTGCGAGGCAGCAGTGCTAACCACTGAGCCACCATGTCACCCAACTCAGTCTTGTTGAGTTTCTCCAATACTCAGCTTGTTTGAGAATACTTATCAAGTTAATAGTGTTGGTTCTCTCAAAATTTGGGAGTTTTCTTCTAGGTTTCATAGCTTCTCCAATCTTGGAGATGTCACATGAGATATTACTATCACTAAAACTTAAAACCACTTTGAATATTTGACACCACTAGTAATCAAATGCAAGAATTTGATCCTCGTCTTGACTCGAATCCTCATCCAATAAACCTCTTCCCTGGTAATGTCCTTGCCTGTAAGCTAGGAGACCCAGGTTCATGTGCTACCTGCTCCATCACTGAACGTATCTGCCAAACGGCTTCCCTACCTTAACAGCGGACTATTCTCCCAAAGAATCACTGAGGTCAATAAAATAAAACAAAACAAAACAAAACTGTAGATGATAGAAATCTGAAACAAGAACAGAAATCGCTGGAGAAACTCTGCAGGTGGGGCAACACCCGTGGGGAAAGAGAGACAACAAGGTGCAGGGCTGGATGAACACAGCAGGCCAAGCAGCACCGTGGGGAAAGAACGAGTTACCGTTTCCAGACCAGTGACCCTTCTTTAGACCTAAAGTAAATTCTTGCTCCTCAAAGAATTTTTCCCCCTAAAAAAATCGCATCCGATCTCTAAATATCAAGTCTTTCACCCGAGCCTAGGATAAATTACCCCTGCCGTTGGAATAAGTGTTATTGAACACGAGTTTACGTTACCTCAAGTGAAGAACAGTCCTCCTCGCTCTATAGCGGTTAAAACCGTTGCGGTGGCCGTTTTACGTTCCCCGCCCCTCACGTGGTCTCGTCACATCAATGGAAAAGCAGCTGGTGTTTGGAGCGGTTGCTTAGCAACGGCGGCGCTCCCTGGTCTCCATGGAAACCGCACGCCGCCGCGGCCGGACGAGGAAGATCCGTTCGGAGAATTTTTTTGTGGGGGGAGTGGGCATTTTCGTTAAATAACGGGGGGCTGTAATCTGTACAGAGGTTTAGAGTTGGTTCGTTTATGTCCGTTAAGGATTGGTAGTGATTCCCACGCCGTGGGAGAGGACTGGCTGTCGGGGGTTTCCTGTGGGGCCTTTATTCCCCGAAGTAGCTGTGTCCAGGGCCTGGCGGAGTGTGGCCTCCAAACTTGTTGAATTGGTGCAGGCAAGTAGCTGTAATAGAAGCTCGTTAGCATCTCTAAACTTAAAATTTCATTAGTTGTCCAAAAAGGGCAATGTGCGAATCCAAGCAAAGCTCAATGTTCGGATTCTACCTTTTTTTAAAAAAAGAAATCACTGATATTGTATAATATTAAGTAAAATGTAAGCATTTGTTGTATTGAAATAAGCAATCAGATGCTTTTACTGCTGATCTTTTAGGTGAGGAAGAGGACAAGTGTTTAAGCTACCTTAATTCACTCGTCCGTTGGGTCTTTATTTATTTATGTTTTATTCTGTTCAAGTAGTAACGTTTTGAGAAAGGAATTTCTAGCAATTCTTTTGGCTTCATTATTCACTGTGCCCATGCCTTTTTCGTTTCCTTCTAGTTACCCGTCACCATGGGTGTAGCGTTAACTCGAGCAGCTCAGTGGACGGCTGCTGGCATCGGGATCGGCAAGTTAGAATTTACCCCTCTGAACATCTCCCTACTGAACAGCATTATCAAATTTGTGGAATATGTTAGTTCCAAGCACCCACAGGAAGCTGCTTTGGTGTTTCGGGAACCTCTTGAATGGAAGTCGAATTTGGAGATATCCGGATTTGGAGCGGACTACCAAATCAGGTTGGTTCCACATTAAGGAGATTGTGTGTTGCTGTTATTGCACCGACAAAATTGTGTATTAAAGCAAGACTATAACGTTGACGTAGCTTTTGAGAAACCTGCGAATTCAGTTAATAAGTATGCAGTTGGTATTTATTAGGATGTTGGTGAGTTGATTATAAAATTTGGCTGTATTGAATAGATTTGGTTTTAAAAACGAACCACATTGCAGCAAAGGAAATATGAATATCTAGTCATAGTTTTAATATGCTATAGTAGCTAGCATTTAATTGTGTACCTGAATTCAATGCCAACTTTTAGAAAACCAAGTATCAAGATTTGTGATAACAAGGTGTAGAGCTGGATGAACACAGCAGGCCAAGCAGCATCAGAGGAGCAGGAAGGAAGATTTGTGTTTGTTTCTCTCTTTTCTAATCCATTTTAACTTTTATATTTTTCATGCACTTTTCTATTTCTGCCTTTTTTTTTACTGTTTGAATGTTGCTTAATTGCAAATGGCTTTGTAGGTGCAGTTTTAAAATTATTGACAAAATTGAAATAGAGAATATATGAAAAAGTTCAGCGTGATTATATTAGAGTTTTATTGTTTGAGGCCAATTGTTTGACATCGCTACAATTTTTAAATGTGAGTATTGTTTTCCAATGGATGATCTGCACCCTTGTCTGCTTAGTTACTTTTGAGCCAGCTGTCAAGGATATATAAGTGTAATAATGTTAACATATTCTAACCTCTAGATGGTGGACCTTTAACATATAAAAATTAACTCTTCATTGGTGTCAGATCAGATCAAATCAGATGTCACAATTTAACAACAGTAATTATCTAAAACCAATGCTGTAGATCATGTAAAATATTAAATTGGTGGTATGGTAAGTTCCCTGCCACTGATGCAACTCATTACTCATTTATACTGAGTTGGCTGAATAAAGGAACAGAATACACAATTTTCATTTTATTTAATTTACTTTTCTTTGTCATCACAGCAAAAAAACTGTTGTATCAAAAGAAAATGTGGATGGAAACCCCTTGCTGATTTTGGATGCTTCTACTGGTGTCATCAAAGTGTCCACTTTTCACCAGCTGGCCAAGCTGCTAGAAATAGCTCAGAAAGAGAAACTGAAAGAAATACAAGCTTGTCTAGAAGGTCAGTTTTATTAAATAGCTTCATTGTTGCAGAAGAGTTATTAAATGTTCTACCTTATTTAAAATCAGGAAGGGAATGCGTTATGAAGATGAGACCAGAAAGTGGAGTTGAGAATTATCAGATCAAGCCATGACCTCATTGAATGGTGGCAAAATCTCAGTGGTCAGAATGGCCTACTTCCGCTCCTGTGTCTTATGGACTTATAATTGTAGCATATATGGTTCATTCAACACAATCAAAGTAATAATAGCAGCCGTGCTTACCATCAAAGTGGGAATAGAGTGGTTTCCACAATTTAGCAAATTTGTTTACCGGTCAGCAAAATAGAGTACACGAGTATTAGATAGTTGCCATTGCCATGAAGTGTTTTGATAAACATGAAAGATGAGGGAGAAAAAAGATCATGCTATAATTTGGAATGCATTTCTTTGAATCTCTTCCACCATCCTTTCAATGGTAATTTCCAAAAGAGAAAGAGAAATGCTAATAAATTGAAAGGGAGAAAATTTCAGGGTTACAAGGAAGTAGCCAATTAGATATTTCTTTTTCAATTCGTCAGCACAGATACGATGGGCCCACAGATCTCCTCTGTGTCGTATCTTTCTGTATTTCTCTGTTTAGTTAAATTCAGTGCCTCTAGAAGCACCTTCATTCATGTTAATAAATAATATCAACTGAAAACTAAACTGTTGAAGGAAAATAAAGAGCTTGCATTTACAAAGCATCTCAAGACTTGAATGTTTCATACAAACATAGGAATTAGGAGCAGAAGTAGACCATTCGGCTTTTCGAGCTTGCTTTGCAAAGTCTCTTGACCTTCTAAGAGAAAAAGTTCTCCTCATCTCTCATCATGAAAAAAGTGACTGCTAATTTTAAAACAGTACATTTCCTCTGAACTGGCTCCAACGCATTCCTTCCTTACATAAGGAAACCAAAACTGCACACATTATTCAAAATGTGGTGTCACAAATGTCCTGTATAACTGAAACGTTTATGCTTAATTCCTCTTGTATTAAAGGATAGGATTTCCTTTTACATGTTGCACCTGCATATTAACTTGTAAACTCATGCACAAAAATACCTAAATCTCTCTGTAGTTGTTTTCCATTTAACTAATACTCTATTCTTCCGGGCAAAGTTAACGACTTCACATTTTTCCACATTATAATCCATCTGCCAGAGTTTTAGCCATGCTAATTTATCTATTTCTGCCTGCAACTTTCTTATGTCTTCATAACATTTCTCTGCCTATCTTTGTGTCATTTGTGAATTTAGCTACCGTACCTTCACTCTCCTCATTTAAGTCATTGATATAAATTGTAAAAGATCAACGCTCCAAGTCAGTCCTCTGTAGGACCCGGTTATGACATCCTGCCAGTCAGACTAAGATCCATTTATGCATACTGTTTTCTGCTAGCCAACCAATCTTTTATTCATGCTAATACGTTACCTCCGTACCATGAGTATTTTAATTTCTGCAATGATGTTTAATGTGGTACCTTGTCAAATGTCTTCTGGAAATTTGAGTATAGTAGGTCTGTTCCCTTTTAGCAACAATGTGCGTTACTCCTCTAAAGAATGCCAAAAACTGGTTAAAAATTATTTTCTCTCTTGTTGAAACCATGCTGACTTTCCCAATTATCTTGCACTTTTCTAAAACTGTGCAGCTATCATCTCTTTAATAATAATTTTAGCATCTTTCCCATGACAGATGACGAGCTAGCTGGCCTGTTTTTTCTGTCTTCAGCCTCCCTCCCTTCCTGAAAATAGGTGTTACCTTTGCTGTTTAGTCGACTGGAACCTTTCCATAATCTAGAGAAGTTTGGAAAATTAATACATCCGCTACATCATCAGGAAACTCTTAAGACCCCAGGATGAAGTTCATCTAGACCCGGAAACTTTCTAGACTGCAGCTCCACCAGTTTGCTCAGTGCCAGTTCCTTCATGGTTGCAATTTTATTTTTGTTCCTTTCTCCCTTCCACCTCTCCATTTGGATCGATCACTTAAATATTTTATGTATTTTCTGTTGTGAAGACAGATGGAAAACATTTGTTTATTTCATCTGCCAATGCCTTATTACCATGCACTCTGCATTCTTATTTATAAGAGGACCAAGCCCCACTTTACTTAATCTTGGCGAATTTCTGCAGTGCATCTTGTAGACAGTACACACTGCTGCTACTGTGTGTCAATGGTGGAGGGAGTGAATGTTTGTAGCCAAGTAGGCTACTTTTTACTGGACAAGGTTTTTCGTGTTATTGGACTTGTGCTCATCTAAGCAAACGGAGATTGTTCCATCACAGACCAGTTTTGGATGTAATTTATTGAAGGTGAATGTTGCAAAACCAGTGAGGAATCCACTCTGGAGATGAACTTTAGGCTGCATTTGGACTTTGCTGTAAAGAGGGAGAGAGCTGAAGAATTAAAACTGTGGTGGAGCTTTGATCCCACAGTGCTTGCAACCTAATGCCTAAGAATCATGTTCATCCTTCCCAGAAACATTTGGAATCCCTCTAATCAGGTTTATGGCCTTACCACAATATTTAAATAGCTGTTATCAAAGTCTCAAATGATAATCTGTCCATGCATTGGGCAAACTATCTCTCCTCATTCTTTTCAATTTGCTAACAGCTTTCGACTTAGTTGATTTGTATCATCCACCTCCACTGGCTTTGTACTTTTGACTAACTTGATGCGATTGCACTTGCTAGGTTCCATTCTTATTTGTCTAATCGTACTCGAATTTCACTGTCAATGGCTTCTCTTCCCATTCCACTTAGATCATTGAGGTCACCAGAGGTAACAAAGTTTTGGTCCCCTCCTAGTTCTTACCTGCATGCAGGTCTTCAGTAACATCCTCCAAAAACATGTGAAGTTTCACACCTATACTGTTGACACTCAGTTTTACCTAACCTGTACTTGGCTGAGCCTTCCAATGTTCCTAAATTGTCAGACTGGTTCTCTGATATTCAGTGCTGGACAAACAGAAAATTTCTCTCTATAAATAATGAGAAGGCTGAAACCATTGCTTCAGATTCCACCTTAAATTCTACTCCCTATAACCTCAATACCATATTTAGCGCCAAGTTGATCTTTCAACCAAGTATTCATTATCACTAATCCTGCCATTTCCACCTGTGTGATATCGCCAACTTTATCTTTGTCTCAGCCTTTATATTAGTGAAATGTCCAACCATATCTTTTGTTGATACAAACATATTGATTATTATGATTATTTTAATGAACACCTGACTGGCCTTTCACATACTACCTTCTGTAAACTTAAGGTGATCCAAAACTCTGTTTCCCGTATTTTAACTCACCCAGGTCCCATTCATGCATCACCCTTGAGCTTGCTAATGTATGCTAGCTTCTGTTTAAATAAAGAATCAATTTTAAAATTCACTTGCTTCATAGGATAGCTTTACCCTATCTCTGTAATCTCCTTCAGACCAACTATCCTCGTGAGATACATGCTCTCCTCCAATTCTGGCCTCTTATGCCTCCCCGATTTTAACAGCTGATCATTGGCCATGCCTTCAACAGCCTAGGTCCCAAACTTTGATGTTTCCTCCCTAAACAACTTTGCCTTCCTTCTTAAAGCAAGCTTTTGGTCAACTGATATTAATCTTCTTTTGTGCCATGACGCCATATTTTGTTGGTATACCTTTAGTGAAACAAGATGGATTGTTTAATTGCATTAAATGCCCTATATAAATACAAATTAAAAATGGTGGAAATGAGGTGTTCACAATGGAGTAGATGTGTGGAAGGAGTTTTGCTTGGTATTAAGCAACAGTAAAGGTTTTAAACCTTCAGTCATGGTTTAATTTGGCAGCCTAGGAGGTTAATTGAGTCAAAGCAAGGAGCTGATGAGAGCAGGGGAGCATATTTCAATTTCAGTATTGTTAGATTAGGAATCTTAGATGCTCATACTTAATTGCCATTGAAAGGGTCCAGAGAGCCAGAGGGCAGTTGAAAGTCAACACATCATTATGGATCTGGAGCGATGTTTAGATCAGATGTAAGAATGACACATTTCGATTTCCAAATGGACAATAGTGAACCAGATGAGTTTTTTAAATGATAACTGACATTTAGGATGGCTTTTAATTTCCAATATTATTGAATTCAAATTTCATCATTTGCCAAGGTGGGATTCAAACCCATGTCCCCAGTACATTAGCTTTGGCTAATGGCTTTGGAATACTAGTCCAATGACATTTGCAATACACCACCCCACCTCCACCACTACCCACCTCCGCTCCCCCTCCGCCGCCCCCCCCAACCGATCACAGTACATGTATGTACTGTTTTCCTGAGTTTCCTTCACAAATTCTGAACTTTGTTGTTGATTCCATCTCCTTTCAATCTCTCAAGCAGAATTTCTGTGTCTAATTTGACTCTGATGCTGAGTTGAGCCACTGACCCCTGATCCTCTATCACAAAAATGATGTACTTTGTTTTCAACATTAACTAACTTCTTGCACCTATCCCAAAACTTGTTTACTGTTGAAACCTTCATCCCTGGCTTTGCCACCTCAAGACTCAATTGTCCAATGCTTTTCTGCCAGTCCACCTTTTTACTCTTTCTAAACTTCAGATCTTCCAATTTTTTGCTACCGTTAGCAAAGCTGTGTAAGGAACTAAATGGTATTCCCTTGTCTATATTTCCTCCTTGTGCACCTCAGTTTTAAAATTCATATTTTTGTGTTTAAATCCTCCAAAGCCTTGACCTTTTTTGCAACTGTAATCTCATCCCAACACTTGCTCCCACTTCCATGGACCTCTGGTTTACTACAGTCTCTTGTGTATTTTTATTTCTCTTCTGAGTTGCATCTGGAAGAATTTTATTTAAAGTTCAACCAAAAATCTTAGACTTTTGACCAAATGTTTGGTCACCTGTCCTAGTCTGTCTTTGGTGTGAGATCCAATTTTAATTTGTGATTCTGTGAACTAATGTTGAGACAATTTCTACGAAGAAGGTATAAATAAATAC